GAGATATAATGACAGGGTCATTAGGTAATGGTGTCAATTATTATTTCAAGTACCTACCTATTATAAATAAATCTACCTTTATTTTCGAATATGTAGATATTATGCAGATAAATAGGAAAGTAATGAGAACATTAGTATTGTTTCCGCTAATGATACCTTTAATGAATATACACCAATTAAGCTCAAATGCAAAACTGCATAAACAATTGGAATGTGTAATTTCCATATCAGTAATTAAGTAGGTACGGTACTTGAAATAATAATTGACAGTTACCTAATGACCCTGTCATTATATCATATCTCAAATTAATTTATTTTGGACCTACAACCAGTCGTTGGAAACAGTTGATGAGAGATAGTTGATCATGACGTTTCACCTGGGGGACAGCATATTGTACTTGAAATAATAATTGACACCATTACCTAATGACCCTGTCATTATATCTCAAATTAATTTATTTTGGACCTACAACCAGTCGTTGGAAACAGTTGATGAGAGATAGTTGATCATGACGTTTCACCTGGGGGACAGCATATTGCGAAGGATGCTCTGCAAAGTGAGTGAGATCAACTCTTTCAAAAATGAAGAAGGAAAGTGGTGTGCGGAATTGTGTGTAGGTGGGCAGACAATTGATCAATTAAGGCGCCGTTTGAGTTCTTCAGCTGCAAAAGGAAGCGTGTGGAGTATCCCCAGCGACGTGAACACCGCTGTCATTATGATAGGGACCAATGACGCAGCGAGGAAGGAGTTCCACGAACCGAAATTTAGAAGAACGCTGAAGTGGCTGATCCGGGACTTCAAGCGGATGAAACCGTCCGTAAGAATCGTCTTGTGCACAATTCCACCCAATAGACGCACAACCAGAAGTGACCACAACGTTGCCGCCATCAACAAAGCTGTTACAGCTCTAGCTGAAAAACAAGGTCTAGTACTTGCTGACCTAAACCGAATCTTCCATCGGCCAGGCATCCATATGTTTGACACGGACGGAATCCATCCCAACGTATTAGGGTTGCGCGCCATGGAACGCGAGATAAGAAATGCCATAAAGGATTAGCCGGCCGGCGTTCTGCTGATAAAAAACGGCCCTTTTCAGGGCCACAAATCTACATTTCTAAGATAATAAGAACCGCTGATCGTATGAAACGATAGGTAGAGGGTTTTAGGTGGGCCCTTGGGCCTCCACGGTGTCTTATCCTCCGCGTGCAAAACTCACTCAATTTTAATAAATCAATTTTGAATTGCAACTTGCATTATTCGTATACCGCGCCATTGACCAAACAAAAGGGAATTTCTCGAACTGTGGGGCACTTTTCGAAAAACTACAGGTAGGGGGTTTTAGGTGGGCCCTTGGGCCTCCACGGTGTACTTATCCTCCGCGTGCAAAACTCACTCAATTTTAATAAATCAATTTTGAATTGCAACTTGCATTATTCGTATACCGCGCCATTGACCAAACAAAAGGGAATTTCTCGAACTGTGGGGCACTTTTCGAAAAACTACAGGTAGGGGTTTTTAGGTGGGCCCTTGGGCCTCCACGGTGTACTTATCCTCCGCGTGCAAAACTCACTCAATTTTAATAAATCAATTTTGAATTGCAACTTGCATTATTCGTATACCGCGCCATTGACCAAACAAAAGGGAATTTCTCGAACTGTGGGGCACTTTTCGAAAAACTACAGGTAGGGGGTTTTAGGTGGGCCCTTGGGCCTCCACGGCGTCCTTATCCTCCGCGTGCAAAACTCACTCACTAACTCACTTGCGGAATTTGTCAACTTCGGGGACGGATTTGTCGGGGGTTTAGGGCTATTTTCCGAAAAGGGGATGAGAATTGGTCCCGGTGCCATCACTTTCGATGGCCATTGATAAAAAAAAAAAAAAACAAAAAAAAACGAATGTAACTTCAGCCCGGTCCTAGTTATTTTTTGTTTTCTCGTTTAGGTTGGTACTACCCCAAAAGCGAATGTCCTTAAAAAAAAAAGCGAATGTAACTTCAGGCTGGTTGTATACCTATATGTAAATTAGGTAAAATAACCTTTTTCCAACTCTCCACCTTTCGTATTGGACCACTGCCACATGAATTTAATTCCTCTGCTAAGGAGCTCCAAAGTTGTTGCAAGGTTTCTATATTCATACCTGGTGTCAACCTGCCAGTAACCAATAGCCGGTTTTTCTCTAAATTCCGCACATAAATATCAAATTGCTCTTTACTTGTTCGCTTCTTTCCTGCCATTTTAATATTTATTGGATGCAACTTCGGGAAAAGCAAAAGAAAAGTCAAGTACCAAGTTTAACTTTATGTGAACAAATTAGATACAAAAGAAAATCATTGCAATTTATGTTTATACTGGAACTACAAATGTGGCATTTGAACTAAAAAAAGCTAACTTCACACCAATCACAAAACAATATTCAATTCGATTTCAATATTGAGATTACTATTACAATACGACAACTAGACTGCCAAAATTAATCAATATTGTTAACTTTATTGATTATACATTACTTAGTAAACAATATTGTTTGCTAATCAATTGCCACCAGACTTAGGCCGATGTACAGTCTGTGTGCAAGTGGAAGGACATCTGACCTTTTTTCAAACACCCGGTATATGTAATAAATTTTTAACTTTGCGCCTTTTATTCAACTTGAAGTTAGTTACGATTTTGTTACACACATGCGCAAGGTGGATCCACCTTGCGCAGCTGATAAAGATAAACAACATTATCGTGTTAAGGTTTTAACAAATCTGCCACGTTTGCAGAATTAAATAAATAAAGCAGTTTGTGGGAATGGAATCTGCATTCTGGCGGCTGACAAATTTATGACGTCACGAATGAAAACGCTTTGAAATCCTTTAAACCGTTGGCTGGACAAACACCTGCTTTGCCAGAAAACAGTTCATGTTAGGTATTAAGAATCCGACGGTATTATTGTGAATGGGTGCCTTACATACAGTAATTTTTTGTCATCACAATTTTAGGACTTGTGCTGTACGTATCTAGTTCTGTGATAATGTCTGCCATAGTTAAAATTGAACCCAAACAAGAAGAGATTGTCTTAAATGATGCCAATGATGTGTATACATCGATCAAGCGGGAATTTAATGAAATTACGACGAATGTAGGGTGTACAAGTGCCATAACCGAAGGGGATTATAAAAGTGAAGTGCAGCAGGAAATTAAATTTGTTGAGAATGTATTTCAAGATTTCTCGCATATTAGTCAATCTAAAATTGTAAAAGATTTAAAATGTGACCAAAAGTGTGACTATGCAACCCATATGAAACACAGTTTAGATGAACACCTGTTAAAACACAAGCCTCCCAAAGATTTCAAATGTGACCAGTGTGCATATGCAACCTATAAAAAATCTAATTTAAAAACACACATGTTAAAACATAAGTCTACTAAGGATTTAAAATGTAGTTACTGTGACTACGCAACCTATAGAAAATCCAATTTAAAAACACACCTGTTAAAACATAATTCTTCTAAGGATTTTAAATGTATTCACTGTGACTACGCAACCCATAGAAAATTCGATTTAAAAACACACCTTTTAAAACACAAGTCTTCTAAAACTTTAAAATGCAGTCACTGTGACTACGCAACCTATAAAAAATTTGATTTAAAAACGCACCTGTTAAAACATACGTCTTCTAAAGATTTAAAATGTGGCCAGTGTGACTATGCAACCCACAACAAACACCATTTAAAGGAACACCTGTTAAAACACAAGCCTTGCAAGGATTTAAAATGTAGTTATTGTGATTACGCAACCTATAGAAAATCAGATTTAAAAACGCACCTGTTAAAACACAAGTCTGCTAAGGATTTAAAATGTAGTCACTGTGACTACGCAACCTATAGAGAATTCAATCTAAAAACACACCTGTTGATACACAAGTCTTCCAAGGATTTAAAATGTAACCACTGTGACTACGCAACCTATAGAAAGTCCGATTTAAAAAGACACCTGTTAAAACACAAGTCTTCTAAGGATTTAAAATGTAACCAGTGTGAGTACGCAACCCATACCAAACGCTATTTAAAGGAACATCTGTTAAAACATGCTTCCAAGGATTTAAAATGTGACCAGTGTGTACTCGACACATAAAATCACATTTTAAATCTCACTCACTAATGCCCAGTTGCACCAACAAAATTAAGCCTTGCTTAAAGTTAAGTCGAACTTAAAATCTATGGCAACGATTATTAAGACAATCGTTGCTATGGTAGTTAAGTGATGCTTAACTTTGAGCGATACTTAATTTTGACGGTGTAATTGGCTATCAAATACATAATTATGTTTCAAAGGTTTTTTAATTTGTCCAGTCGGTCTCACAGAAAATCTAATTTAAAAAGCCATCTGTTTATTGTAATAGGCAACATTACTACATGTGTATAAAAGTAAATGTTTATAAATTATGGCATTTGTAATAGCGAAACATATAAATCCGTCCGGGTGAATGGATCAAAAGTGTGTATTTAATTTTGGTTAGTTTTATTGTAAGCAGTTAAGTTCAGGTATGTCCATTGCCTGTTGAGAGTCCTGGTGCACCCTCAGAACAATAATTCTTATTTGCCCTTTTTAAATTAAACACTGTTTTGAGGTAAGCATGTGGTGGTCTTGTAGGAGTAATAACAAAAGCGCAAGTTTAAAAAGAAAAATGCTTGTTCTTATTTTCTTAAAATAACAAAAACTTGAGGTTTTTTTTTAATATTTCAGTTTTACTGCCAAACCTGTAATTTCCCTATGTTCGATTTTTAAAAAAACTCCTATTGATTGAGTAGTTCAAATGAGTAGTAGATAAAATTGACAGCTGTCACATTTTCAAAAATACCACTGTCCAATTTAAGCAAAATGCTTTAGATATGAAGGTCCAAATTGTAAATTGGACAAAATTGAGAACAGTTTTAGGAGAGTTCGGGGCTTATTTGCAGGGCCAGCTCGAGGGGTGAGACGGCCGCCTCAGGCGGCATAATCCTAAGGGCGGCATTTTTGAAATTTAAAAATTAAAAAAAATGTTTTATTATAATGAAAGCGATTGTAAAATATAGCCATCTGCCAGGCCACTAATTTGCGATATATGTAATAGGATAGCATGTTTTTTTTTATTAGTTTATCGTACTTGATACGTACACAAAGAATAAGCTAGCGCCGGTGGTGATACACATACACCAATGTCGCTGCTTCGCTTATTACTGCTTAATCGTTATAGACGGGAAGTGAAGGAATCGTGCAAAGCCACAAAGGTAAAAAAACCTTTAGAAATACTGAACTATATAGAGCTAAACAGTTTGAGTGATAACTTTCCATATATAGTAGTATCTCGAAGGACACTTTAACTATTCTAGTCACTGTGGCCAGTGGAGCACGTTCATTCTCAAAAAAATAATGAAAAATTATTTATGTTCAACAATGAGTAATGACACAGGACAGATTAACGGACGGATCTGGCCATTCTCGCCATTGAACATTAACTAAGTTCTAACATGACTTCGATGATATTGTTAACAATTTTGCAAATGAAGTACCTATATAAATATAGTTATTATTACACTAGGTTGGTATTTTTGTTTGAATTTCCGTTTTTGTATGCTTATGTAAATGTCGTTTTCTGATTTCTACGATTTTATTTAATTTTCTCGTTGTTTGGTGGTACTTTTACTCATATTAAAGAAAGAACCATCAATAACAAACAAAAAACCTTTTCATTCGGGCGGCAAAGTTAGCGCTTGCCTCACCCATTTTTTTTTCGACGAGCCGGCCCTGCTTATTTGCAATATGTATTGAATAGATCAAACAAATTAATGAAATACCCAAGGACGTTAAAAATATACGAAATACTGTCCTTTATGCACATAACCTACAAATAATTGAAGGTTGGTTCACGACCCAATGAATTGTGGGATCAGCGCCTGCCTTGTGAGGTCAAGTTATTGTAAGTTTCAAAAAAATTTATCCTAATTGTGCGCGCAAAAATCTTATATAAAAGTTGCTGTAACATGGCCTCACATGGCTTCTTTAAAAAAATCTTACAGAGTGCTCTTCATCATCAAGACCGTTCATAGGTTCGTGGTTCATAGTCACGCAAGTTGCGCATTTTGCTGCTGCGAATATGAACCGCGCACAGCTCATAGATTGATGCGATTTTTTTTAATCGAACACAGGGAATTTACTTTGCACACAAAATCGTCTGTTCGCATTTAAAAAAAATTCACTGTATAATGCTTGTCGCATTTCTTTCTAGCTTATTATACGAGACAAAAAGTGAGTTTATGTTTGGACTTTCTGTCCGTCCGTCCGTCTGTTTTCCGATTCTGTTTTCAGTAGGTAATAGGTAAACAATGATCATGGGAGTAACTGATTAAATTTTGGCCATTTGGACTTTCGGCCCGTCCGTCTGTGTTTGTCGCTCGTTGTCTATGGTTTGAAACAGTTTATTGCATTTTGAATTACAAAAATTCAGATCTCGTTCTCATTAATTTCATTATAAACGATAACAAGTCTTTGAAATTTAACTATACATCTTTATAGAAAAATATTAGCTTAGGTAGCGACATAGGTACCTATTTTACCAGCAATAAGCAATGAAATTTATTAATTAGAGAAATATATTAACAATCCTTGTCGGCCTAATAAATTAATAGCATTTCCAGAAATTACAAAAAGTAAGTAGAAGTTGCTTTCTTCTTTTCTACTTTTTACAGATATCAAGAATATACTCTCATTTGGATAGCATTTATAAAGATGTCTGCGTTGTATGCAGCTTTTTTGTCTAGTAAAACTAGAGCTTGGTAGATCCAATTATGATGCTAAGCGGACTGAGATAGGTGTTAGTAGAAACTGGTATTAAATGCAAAATGTCAGTGTACCAAAATTGGGCAAACTGGCACACATTCTTCTTCCACCACCCATAAAGCTGCTCTTAATGATTATTTATTGTAATTTTGTAAAACTCAACGGAAATCCTTCGGCTCTAATTTAAACATTATCGATATGATTCCTTAAAACTAATTATCACTAATACTAATGACATCAAGGCGCCATCAAGTCGATAAAGGATTTATCACCGGCGATAAGGAATAAAAAAGGGGACGTGACTGTGACATATATGATCTAGATTTTAGAGGTTTATTGTTTGCCATAAAAGCAAATTGAATTGTGTTTAGTCTCAGTCTTAACATGAATGTCGAAGTGATAAATCGCGTTGGTGTTATAAATTGTCTTATATAAAATTGACTGCAAGTACAAAGAATTGTTATAAAACAATCTATTTAAGGAAAGTAATAGCAACTTTACTGGTTCGTTCATAGATACTTGTTGAAGTTAAATTGCGCCAGTTTCTTATAATACTGCGCAGTTTTGTGAATTTAGCTTTATACTTATACCATTTCTGAAACAAAATCCTAATTAATCATTTTAAGATGGTGACTACGCAATTCATTTTGCTTTTTCTGAATAAAAGCTTAAATTTGAATTTCAAGCTGTGAGGGTAATGGATTCCGTCCTACACTTAACTCATCCATTCTTTCTTCTGCTTTCTACAGACCGGTTTTTGTTTTTCAGTTAAACTTATTGATACCTTCTCTACGAATTTGTTTCCTTGGAAAGAATGAGAGATAAACAGGAAAAATTGACACAAACTGAAATATTGTGGTCTAAATCAAAAGCTACTGAATTGATAAGGTTGTCAATAACAACTTTTAAAGTAAATACAAATTTATTATATAGTACTGAAAATATTGATAAGGTGTTCACAAATGTCATCAAAATCACCTCCTAGAGTGTGAATGCTTGTGACTTTTAGTTTTATGTTTTCTGTGGCTGTGTCTATTATCTGATTCGGAATCACTGGCATCAGATTTATGCTTGTGCGACTTCTTCTTGTGCCTCTCATCATTTACTGTCCGCTGTGTATGTTCTTGTTTGTTTTTTCTTCTTCCATAGTCACTATCCTCGTTATTGCTTGATGATCTATCTCTGTTTGATTTCTTTTTATACTTATGTGAAGAACGCTGTTTTGTATCCTTTTCTTCATGTTCGTTAGGTTTACGATCCTTACTTTTGTATTCCTCATATTTGACTATGTCTAAAACAGGAAAATTCCTAAATTTTCTATAAATCAAACTTATATACAATGTAATATGCCACCTTTGGTAAAGATTGTAAGGGTAAATGGAACGAAAGCAGTATTTTTTGAAAATTTATTATTAGGAATATTACATTATATACAAATTACTTTCAAAATTATGTAAAAATAACGTACTTATAACTTTTGACGATTTGTCATATTCTTCTTTTGTAACAGGAGAAACTAAAAATTCGTTTAACGACAACACTAATCCGTCCAGAGAAGTTTTCACAATAATTCTACCCGCTTGATCATCAAACCCTTGTACCTAAAATTACAAAATGTCTAAACGCAATTCAGTAATTTAAGAAAAATTTCATACCTCGCAGTAGCAACCCTTCTTCTTCCCATCTGTAATTTTAGCAAAACCACCCTTACATAAAGTCAGCTCTTTACCATTCTTATCCAATGTGGGTTTTGTTTTCTGATCCTTATAAGTTTGACTGGCGCCAAGTCCCATTCCTTTAGGTCGCAGCGCAGGTTCAACCATTTTAATTTTTCTACACACAAAACATGTAATTCAAATTGGAAAATAATTCATGAACTTACTTGTTATTTTTACCAATTCCAGATCCTTCCGTCCACCCCATTCCACGCAACATAGCCAAACCATAATCACTAATCGGAACAGTATCGTAATCCTCTAATGTGGATTCTTCTTTTCCTTCTATCTCAATTGTGTTTGTTGCAACATTGGGAAGTACGAATACTTTACTAGTCTTTTGAATTGAAGAATTCTGCGCTTCTGTAATTACAAGAGTTAAGTTTTTACACGTGTCATTGTTACACTACCTCTTATTAATTCTCGAGCCGCAAGCTCATCAACTGTTAATTCAGAATCGGGTTTCTCATTAATGGGCTCTATTTTATCGAGATTGAGGTTTTTCCTACGGTCCAGAATGTTAGTTGTAGACTGCACCATTGGTATAATAAGAGGCCCTTTAACTTCTTTTTTATCACTGAAACATTTATTAATGAATTGAGATGAAATACATTGAAATGTAGGTATGTTACTTTTTAATTTTTATTGTTTGCGATTCTAGGCATTCGATCAACTCCACTCTTTGTTGCTTTTCCGGCGGTTTTCCAAATATGTTTGGTTTTTTACTAAGTTTACTAAACCCAAAAGATATTTTTTTGTTCTCTTCTGCCATCATCTGCTTTCAAAAGAATGAAACTGAAACTTTGTAAATTCTTATTTATGGTACGCTTTCTAGTTTTTAGGTTACCTTCTATAACGCAGGCGCAGCGCGAACGATGTCGATTTTCTGTCAAACTTGGCAGTGGCTGCATTGACAACAACTTGAGCGTTCTAAAAAGAAATATTATATACGGTGTAAGTCGAAAATCATACAGTATCGATGACGATGACGGAACGTTTTAATTCAAATAGAATATAAATAGTATAACCATTGTATATTTATTACAAGTAGGCCAACTGATTCAAAAGCGAGCGCCGAGAAAGTGGTGGTACATAACGGTAGTATGTTGAACTAAAACGGATAAAGTGTAAATCCACACAAATTATGTTTTTCATTTTAGCGTCCTGTCTGTAACAGGACCTATCTTTTCCTGAACGACGCCCACGTATACACACGTAATTTTATCATAATAAACATGAGAAATGTCAGTAGGTCATGTTTACGTGTCTCGTCTTTAGACAATAACCATTCTTTGCATTTATGATATGATTCGAAATCGTACGAAGACGGCTTCGGATGAATCAGTTACGTTCTTAACTTTGAAAGCCCCCTATAATATTTTTATGGATCTACTTAAACACGAAACAACTCTTGCATTTACGCTGGGTATCTAGTGTAGGTATGATCTTTGCCTTGAATGACGGTCATGAACGCGTCGTTCCATAAATGTTTGTTGTTATTTTGTGTTATTTAATGCAGGTAGTAATCTTTGCATTTCTTTATATCGTATTTGTGTTTTGTATGCCACATTTTATATTTTTTGTGTTTGAATCTTTGTTTTTGCCATTTACTTGGTTTAACCGCAGTGCATAATCACATATGTGATACCGTTATGCTATTGTTTGTAATTGTTTACGTTTTTGGTGTAATGCTTGCTTAATTTATGTTTATTGATGTTGATTACTTGGTCTTGTCCCTGAAGTAACATTCATATAAGTTTTGATCATTTTATTTTAATATGTGGAAATTACAGATTCGTTTGATGTATGTACTGACTTGTTGTTTGTAACTAACATTTTCTCCGTGAATGAAGCAGTCACGGGGGGTGGTAAAAACTGTAGTCAAAATTGAGCTGCGATACCTAATTCCGTGATTGTCTTCGACTTTCAACTGTAGGCTCGAAACCAGGGGCGGGTTACCTATCTTGCAGGAGCAGGATTAGGCTAATCAAAGCTCTTCAGTTTAGAATCTATGTGCGATAAATGAGTTACGATTCGTAATTTCCACATATCTTGTTTTTAGTTAAATTTGCCTACAAGGCCATGTAATTTTCCATCTTGCTTTTACCAAAAGGACTTTATTGCACCAAAGATGAGTCACATCCTTTGTATTTCACCCTTTCTTAGAATCTTGGTACCTGCTTACCTAACCCATAGTTCCCAACACTTGTTTTTTAACCTATATAAATATTACCTCTTGAAGTCTACCTGCTACTTTTTATGATGTTGTAATTTTATGTTACGCATTCACATCATTACAAACAATTAATTTTACTACACAATTTGATATTAATTTCACGGCTGTTTTTTTTATTGGTAAGTTCTTTTTTTCCCAGCATATTTCCATTTTTATTCGGTCAACTACCATTTTCAAAGATTATTTTTGCAATGTAATTTATTTCGATTTAAATTTAAACTGTACGAATGTTAATGTCAATGTCACTAAGAAATCATGAGTACGAGAATCCACCTTATGTTAAATTTTTAGGTGTCTTTGTGGACCCGAAACTATCTTTTCAGTCGCATATCGAGTATATTTCTAAAAAAATAAGCAAAAATATTTATGTTATGCGACGCCTTTCAGAATGCGTGTCTAGTCTAGGGAGCTCTTAAAGGTGGCGTTTACAATGTATGGTAAACTAGTACAAAAGTGTCATTGCGATTTCCACAATAACTTTGTTGCGAAGTAAAAGAATGACCTTCTGTAAACGATCGATTGTAGTTAAAGGTTTAAACTTGTGAATGAAGTAAATTTTGTAACAAATTGTTATCAGTGTGGGATAAAAATGGAAGATAAATATGGCTAATTTTTAAGATTCTTATTTCTTAAATAACAGTGTAAGTACAGGAATTAGCTAAATAATTTTTGTTTCATGCAAATGTCTGAACATTATATATTTGAATGAATGTTATTTCAACCAAAAATGTTGACTCTAAAGGCCGTTTTTGTGGAAAGAAAATTTCTTGACGACATCTATTGAGCCAAGGTACATCGTCACGGCAACGTCATGATCTCCAAATGGATTCATCGTTATCGGGTGCGATTTTATGCTACACAGTTTAGCAATTATAAGAGGGAGGTCGCTCACGTCATTAGAGGGCAAAGTACATTTTATTCAATGAAAGTACGTAATTTGAATTTCGTACGTAGGACGCATGGAATTTTAATTTGATATTTGATATTGTATTGTATTATTGAAATACGAATTATTTCCTGAGATGCTGTTTTTCAAAGTAAAGCGTGCATATCTTTTACATACGATAACCAATTGGTATCAGATTTTGCATACGCATGCCTTTAGTGGTGCCAAGTTAAACTATACAAAATGGGGGGGCATGTACTACCTTCACGTACATAATTACATAAGGTCTCAGCGTTGGACAAGATTAACTTCAATATAATAACCTCTTATCGTGTTCGGGTATATTCCCTTATACCTCAAGAACAGATTGTCGGAATAGGGTACTCACAAAGGGCGATTGAGACGTCTGCAGACGTCATTAGTGATGTCATATGCATATGCATGCCTTTAGTGGTTAAACTTCAGAAAATGGGGGGGGGGCATGTACTACCCTTCACGGTATTCTAATGAAAGGTCTCATCAAAATAAATTGGTTTGGACAAACTATAACTTTCCCGCGCGACTCTTTTTCGAGATCAGTGATTTTTACTTACCTGGTAAACTGTGAATGCAACTACTTAAGTAATAACAGTTTTCACAGTGACCACATTTAATAATTAAACGAATTTATGTAAAATATGTAACGACTTTACTTGTTAATTTACGAAATAAAAATTCACTGCACTAACGCGATGGAACACTAAATATACCTACTTGTGTCGAGAAAACTCAATTTCCTGTACCGATACTCGCATTTCATGATATGTAATAAAAAATAAACCAAACAGAATATATCTCTCTCAAGTTCATATTACCTACATTACAACAGAGCATTATCGTCAATGCGTTCTTATGCCAGACGTTTTATTATTTTATTTATTTATTATCTCTCTCTTGTTCTGGGCCCTCAACAGGTTTGCGCCCAATTACAGAGTGACCCGCATAATGCTTTTTAGAGGTGTCTCTGCAGAAGGTCTAATTCTCATCTCTGCCACAGATGAAAAATTCACCTCAACCCAGGTTGGAACACCCGACCTCCGGATTTATAGCCCAACTCTCTACCACTGAACCTCCATTGTAAGCTAAATGCCTAGTTAACGTTTTCTTGGAACGTGCTTAAGTCGTCCACAAACAAATGCCCACTAAAAGGGATTAAATTTCTTTGGGATGCGCTAAGTGAGTCAGTACCTTACATACTTACCTAGTTTCTACGACTGGCCTGCAGAGAGTGGAAATGAACCACCACTGAAATTTTGCGTCTTATTCAGTTTCATCAATAAATTTATTTGTTATTTAAAATCTCATCTTTTTAAATTTTTGTCTTTTTTGCGAAATTTTTGTCGTAATTGCATTTTTTATTTTGCATTTTCGCTGATTTTTAACGTCATTAAAATCCTAGCACTATTTATAAGTATGTGCTGTATTTAGTTTCTTGCACCATTAATAAATTATTAACACGTTTCTCTTCTGCAATTAAAAAAAACTATATTCTAATTGATTTTCGAGAAAGGAATACTTTAAAATGAAGCAAAAAAATTGGCCGGTAACCTATGCAATTACACCTGGGCCGTAAGTACCCAGTCCGCCCCTGCGCAAAGGGCACTGTGCATGCTGATCGATTAGGCTCAACTTTTGGAATTGTGTTTTATATGGTTAAAGCTATGCGCATATTGAATTTCATGCAATTCGGTTCATAACTAACGGAGGTGTCAAAAGGGCCTACTTTATTTTTTGGTCTACATACCAATTCATGAACTCCGATCTACAAATTTGATAAAGAATCCACCTGCAAAATTTCACCGTAATCGGTCCATTCGTTTATGACTTATGTGCTAACGGACGGACGGACAGACACCGCAAAATTATAAACTCGCTAGGAGTTCGTTAATAACTGTTTTATAATGACATGATAGTCAATTTAGAAATAGAATCTTGGATTTAGATAATACAGAGGTTGATGTAATCCTGCAAAATTTTCGCTAGTTCTTCGGTTCGTAGATATCCTTCATGAGGTTGCAATGAATTATAATTATAGGTCTATAATCTAACTCATTTATTTAATTATAAAGGTTTAAAAATGAAATGGTTAGTACTTTAGTAGGTAGTACAAAAATTTGCTCGCGAGCATGAAATGGAATACGCCGCAGCCCGGAATTATTAAAATAAATGCACTGTTGAACGAAATGTTTTTACCAAATTATTTACAGCTTTATTTACAAATTTTTGCTAAGGTGCGCTAAGAACTTATATCATTTTCAAATTTTTGAGATCTAAGCGCAAATAGTAGAATTCGGTGCTACATCCTAGATACTCATATAGGATGTAGCAAAGACACAACTATTCTTTCCAATTTTTCGAAAATTCCTAACCGAAGACGGCGCATGCCTAAACGAGGGTGCAAAGAAAATTGCGACAATTTTTGACATTCCCTATTCAATTTCGTACAAGGTCAATTTATTATTTTTAGAGAAAATAGGTATTTTTACTTATTTGGGAAGATAAAGCACTTGGTAATACAATTAATTACAACGAAATTAATCGCGGTAAACGTCAGCAACCGAGAAAGCTGAATATGAATTGAATACAAATGCTAAAAACCCAGTTCTATAAATTACAGATATCAAATTACAGCGATCGTCCTCGGTATATTATTATCTCGACAGTTGCGCCTTATCTGTTTATTTTT